GTAGTGTTATTGACCTGCAAAATCATCTCTTTCTTTGTTTTGGGTTTTTTTATGATGACGAAGGCTGAGAGTTTATCACCGTGGAGCACTGTGGCGATGACTTTCTAGCAGAACTTGCCGAAACGATGCAAGATACTGAGGATTGGGATGATTTGCAAGCTGCGGAATCAGAAGCTTGTGGAGTTTTGGCTCATATGTTTGGCCAAGATATCCGTAATGACGGTGGGTACAATGTTGTGCACAATGTTACTATTATAGAAGATTCTCCACAACCTGAGAAAAATCAAACTTTTGTTGAGGTGGATTCATCTACTGATGGTGAAGACGAAGAGGATATATTTGGCAGTAAAATGGGCAGGAAATCCACATGCTATATTCCTAATCAAAGCAGTACTCCGAGGAATTCATCCACTCAACTTCTGGCCAGACGATCTTTAGAATCCATGGTATGCTTCTGAAAACTGTGAAGTTGTCTCACTCCTTTCTGCCCCCACCAGTTTGAAGGGATTAAGAAAAAGAAAGAAAAGCAGGGTAGCTTGGCATGCTTTTTGCCATGCCCAAAACTAATTTGGTTGATAGTTGTTAAGTTTGTGGCTCGAGGTTTTTAATCATGGACCTAGATTTGGCTTGGGATTGGCCCGTGTAATTGTATGGACCAAATACGCAGCTTGAAGAATGTCATAGTATTGTACAGGGTTGGCCGTTCGGTGAAGCAATTGTGGACACCTGAAGAAGCCACAATAGTTACCGGTCAAATCCCAGGAGTCTGGCCATAATGGTCCAGTTGTTTAGGAAGTTAACAAAAGGTTGGCAGATCTCGGCACGACTTTTTATTCTTTTAACAGTGATGCTGCAACCCATATTTTTATATATTTTTGTTGCTAAGGTATATTGGGGCCATTAAGGAAAATGAGAAGAATTGAGAGCAGATTGTCTTGGTTTTTGATCGGGAAAGATTAGAGTGTCCTTCTCATAAAACTCTTGGGAAATGCTTTCCACTCGTCTCATTCGTTTTTGATTGACTCTTGCAATTGGGGTTTTGATTAGTGAGAAATTGATTTATTTCTTATCGTAATTCCCTCTTGGTCGTTGTGAAACAACTCCTCCCGTTGACGTAGACGAAACTGCCCAACCCCTTAAATTAGCGTGTCGCTGGTCTTTGCTCTTAAAATTATGTCTTTCCCTGATCATTTCCAGTTTGCTTGTAATTTTGCACGCAGCAAAGGACCTTACGCAGGGTACCTGTACAAAAGCATTTAGTAAATTGCTTATGAGGGATCTCATCCGATCAAATGTATAATAGACACTCCTAACTTTTGCCAGTTACTTCCACAGTCTTTCAGATCTAAAATGACTTATATTAGAACTGTTTGGTCAATAAAAACAGTTGATTTTTGTTTAGGATGATGTAACACTACCTATATTTCTCAAATATTTTGAGAGTATAGTACATCATCCAAGTGTGGAACTTAGCGTCCAGCGTCTTTGATAGGAGTGTTTTGCGAAATGAAGGCTTGGGATTTCTTTGTGCACAATTTTCATTTTCCATCACTCCACATCAGAAACTATTTGTGGTGCTGAAGAGGCTTGTTTGTGTTGAAGGACTGTAGGAGCACTGTCACTCAAGGTTCGATATCATCAGTTTCCAATAAAAGACATTGCTCTCGGATTTCGACATGCAAACAAAGAACTCTGACTTATGAGGAATTGCAAGCCTTGGATGACATAGAATTGGCAAATGTAGTAATATTCGGAAACGAGGCATTTCGACCAATGTAGCATCAGGCTTGTAAAGCTTCCGTAGCCAAGCAAGATTGCTTCATTCTCATGCCCACTGGAGGTGGTAAAAGTTTACGTTACCAGGTTAGTGAATGTTAACATTATTTCTTTTGTGTAATGATCGTATGTAGAAATATGTGTGGAGACAATGTTTAGAGCGCAAGCCTTGTGCGTTTTGCTCAATGGTTCCACCAATTAAATGCTAGATGGGTAAACCTGTATATCGAGATTTAAGCTTTAAAATGATCTTGTAATCTGCTTTGTTAGCACTGTTGAGAAGTTTGTGCTTAAACTTAAGGAAGAAAATGTTTTTAAAATGCAAATTAAGCGATAGGAAGTGATTCAAGTACATAACCATGGGTTTCAATGTATGGGATCGGACTAAGTTAGACAAGAAGGAAATACTGGACATTCTCATTCTGCCTATGCACATCTCTATCTATTCTGTAATTTCTAGAGTTTGAGCTTTGTGCTATGCTTCTAGGACCTTCTAATTACTTAATGGAAAATTTATCTTGTTTTTGCATGTAAGTGTTGTTGTCAGCCATAGACTCATAGTTCAGGTCCAATTCAAACGGGTTATTAAGTCAAAGAGGAATAAGTTTTCAAATTACTTGCACCAAATACTGATTGTATATGTCTATATTTCCTATGCAGGTATGTGCTATGTCATCGTGTCAACTAGGGGTGATCATTTCCCATAATTGGTTTGAAATTGATGTCCTTTCATATAAATCTGAATTGATCTACTGAATCACCAAGGAAGATATTAATCTGAATTGATAAAGTTGAACTATCCTGAAGTGTTTTCTGTTCAGTGTTGAAGTAGTTGATATATGTTTCTAGCTGAAGTAATTATAAGACAAATATCAACTGGTACTTTCTGATCAGCTGAAGGTGAATAAAAGAATAATTCCCTCATCCCTTACTTTCTTCATGTGCTACTTTCTTCTTGTGCTCTTATGATGTTTTTACATTTCGTTTCAACTACCAGCAACTCTTAAACCAGGTGTCACAGTTGTTATATCTCCCCTGCTCTCTCTCATCCAGGATCCAATAATTACTCTAACCCTCAAGTATGGAATACCGTCTACCTTCTTGAACTCTCGCCAAACGGCTGCCCAAGCAGCGGCTGTCCTCCAAGAACTAAGGCAAGGTTTAGCACTCTCTCTCTCTCTCTCTCTCTCTCTCTCTCTCTCTCTCTCTCTCTCTCTCTCTCTCTCTCTCTCTCTCTCTCTCTCTCTCTCTCTCTCTCTCTCTCTGTTCCTAGAGAAGTATATCATACCATACAATCTTTATCCCGCCATAAAATGGCTATGCTCCATATGTTGCAATGGATGCACATTTTTTATGTAGTTAATGAAAAGATTCATGCCTAAGATGTTTGCCTTAAAAATAAATTTTAGGATCTTAGTGTTCCTAGAGAAGTATATCATACCATACAATCTTTATCCCGCCATAAAATGTGCGCCTATGCTCCATATGTTGCAATGGGTTTTCTATTGGACTTCTAAATATTTTTTTTGTTGAGTGTTGTGATTGTCAAGTCATTAATCTCCACTGCTTTGCCTGTCTTTTCAGGAAAGATAAACCATCGTGCAAGCTATTGTATGTAACCCCTGAAAGGATTGTGGGAAACCCATCATTTCTCGAGATATTGAAATGCTTGCATAGAAAGGTACTATTTCTGATTCACTGTAACTTTTTCTGAAAGTTTCTTTTTAACTTTTTGATACTCGACCATCATGCATTGCAGGCACAACTTGCTGGTTTTGTTATTGATGAGGCACATTGTGTGAGGTATGCTCTTTGGCATCCTTGTATCTGAAGCAAAGATCATGCTAGTGTTACTTCAAAAGGAATAAGTATTTATGATGTTGCTACTGCAAAACTACTGTCCTTGTTCCAGATAAAGCAAAGCAAGTTAACTTTTATATATGCTCACTCTAACTTTTTTTTTTCCTAACGTTTTTGCATTTTCTGTATTTCTAGCCTAATTACATTGTCGGTGTTACACTGGACCTTCTGAAACCCAGACCTTCTGTGAAGTTCTAGTTTAACAGAATGCAATGTTGAAATAACTAATTCTGGAAATGATCCAGTTCCTTCTTTTGGGAAAAGTCAGTGACACATCGTTAATCATATTAAGCAAAATGCACAAAACTAAAATAAGCTCCAACGGAAATGACTTTCGGAAGTAATTGGAATTGTCCATGTTTGGCATGATAGTCAGGTCTTTTAAGCTGGTTCTTGTGTCTGTATTTATTCTTTTAACCTTTATACTATATATTAACAACTTGAGATATGAGGAAAAAGTTCACCCATGTCATCATTGATTGTGTTTCTTATGAGGTCTTTACTGGATCTGCACTGCCAGTGCCATCTCATGAAAGGAACGTATTGCTGGTTTGAGCTTTTCTAGTATATTTGAATGATTGTAAACTAGTAAAGCTTATTGACTGTTACTTTCTTGGTTGTCATTATTGCAGTCAATGGGGACATGATTTTCGTCCAGATTATAGGGGACTGGGATATCTCAAGCAAAATTTTCCATACGTCCCAGTGATGGCCTTAACTGCAACTGCCACTCAGCCAGTTCGTGAGGTACGAAACTTGCACATTAACCTCCAGATTATGTTGAAATAATCATTTGAGACTGATTGAAATGTGCATCCATTGCAGGATATCCTAAAAGCTCTCAGGATCCCCCATGCTCTTGTTCTTGAGACAAGTTTTGACAAACCAAACCTAAAGTATGAGGTCATAGCTAAGACCAAGGAACCACTGAAGCAGCTTGGAGAGCTGCTAAAGAATCATTTTGCTCGTTTTTGTGGCATAGTATATTGCCTATCAAAGAGTGAATGTGTTGATGTTGCAAAATACTTGAATGATAAGTGCGGTATAAAGAGGGTGTACTATCATGCTGGATTAGCAGCCAGTCAAAGAGTAGCTATTCAAAAGAAATGGCATACTGGAGAGGTCCAGGTTGTATGTGCAACCATTGCCTTTGGGATGGGATAGACGAACCAGATGTGGTAAGTTGAAATGGACTATGGGCCTTTGCCTATTTTTAGTTTTAGAATCAAGCTGACGTGTTGTCAAATACTCGACTAATCCACTTTTCCTTTAATGTTTAAGTTTCACCAATTGGTTTCTTAGTGTGCTTGGAAGTAAACTTTGCTGGAAGAGGGCTGTGTCTCTTTCTCTCAGATTTCAATGCACAGAAAACCAGTCAATCTCTGTCTCTGTCTCTGTCTCTCTTCCTTCCTTCCTTTGGACACAAAATTCACCATTTTTAAACAGTCGAACTCCTTGCATTCTCTCTCTCCTTCATCTTCTTCTTCTTCTTCTTCCATATCTCACCAGATCTCTCTCTGTCATCGGCGTCAAGTTCGCCGGAGCAATTCCCGTGGCCTGGGATGGCGGCGACTCCCAGCATTTTCTTGTTCCGCGCGCATCTCGCCGTCAATGCCGGCCCAAATCTAGTGTCGATAACTTGATGCGCAACTCTGTGTGTCGCTCGTCGTAATCCTCGCCGCATTCGGCGGGAGGTTAGTGTGAATCTTGGGTGGTTCGCGTGGAAAATTCGTTGATTTTTGTTTTTTGCTTCTATGCGCGCTATTGTTCTGTTGATGTGTGAATCTCCACTTCAGTTTAGAGCTTGGACTTAGCAGGCGAGGTAGTGAGATCGTGTTCTCGCAAGCAATGGGGCTTGCTTTAGGAGTTTGAGATATGCTTCATGAGTAAATCGTGTTTCAGTGAGTTAAGGATGATGCTTTGGTTGTTGGGTCGATTCTCGGCAAATGTGAGATTAGAATTATCCGAGCAGTGACTCCTGAAATGCTTGCAGATGGGAATGGAGGGTCTATTGAAATTAGGATAATGCACACTGGGTCTCCATTATTCATGTGTTGCTCATGAAATTTCGTCTGGCAAATAGTAGAATATGCCTGGCCTAGCATTTTCATCGTCCGCTCCGCGATGTGAGCTTTTGTCGAAGTTACCCAAGTTACTCTGGATGTGGTTGTTCTGGGTCTTCCTATCTCCTCGTTATGTATGTAATTTTTCTTTCTGTTCTTTTTAGATACCTGTAGTTGAGAGATGCAGGTGGAGAAAAGACGGTCAAAGGGAGGCTTCCTACAGTTTTTTGACTGGAATAGCAAGTCCAGGAAGAAGCTGCTCTCAAACGGTCCTGATATACCTGGTCCTGGTACGACCCGCATTGTCTTTTTTATCAATTTTATTGGTCGCACGCCCGTGCATTGCTAGCATATGAAAGTTTTTTGGAGGAGATGGCTCATAATCATATAGTGCTATTAACGTGCTTTGTTTTCTGATTATAGATGAAGTTAAGCATGGAACGGATGATGCAGATATCTTGGCGAAGTCAAGGTTTCAGATGGTGGGAGTTCTTTTGACCCTACTGTTGTCAAAATCTTTTTTAGTCGTGTATGAGTTCCATCTATTTGACTTGCATTGTTTCTTGCCTTAATGTAGAATGTTATTGATGAAAGTGGAGTTAGTTCAAGTAAAAGCGGAAGTAGTGAGTGGAACTGTGCTACTTCAAAGACCAGCAATGAAGGATCTGAAAACAGAGCCCCTGGAGTAGTAGTGGCTCGACTGATGGGTTTGGATTCATTGCCATGGAGTAGTAGTGGCTCGACTGATGGGTTTAGATTCATTGCCAAAGTCAAATGGTCCCGAGTCCTCCACCTCGTGTTCTAAATCTCATCAAGTCGAAGCTTCTCCTTACGGTGATGGCATCCGTGATTTGCGAAGTAGATGCAATCCGATTGATTACCTCAGCAGTTCTAGTAAACTAGGTAGGTTCTCCTCACACTTTGCAGAAGTAAAGCCCTTGACGGTGCTGGGCCGACCGATAGAGAGATTTCAGATCAAGGTACTTTCTCCGAAATCAGCTAAACCTATTTCCGTTACCCATCATAGGCTATTATCTCCAATTGAAGGTCCCGGATTTGTTCCGGCCGAGAATGCTGCCTATGTTATGGAGGCAGCCGTAGAGATTATTGAAGCTAATCCCTGGGTTGTCAGAGGCAAAGCATCATCTGACTGTTTCAGCATCAGTTCCTTTGAGAATACAAGATCTAAAAATGAAATTAGAATCTTCCTATGAGGCATCAAGGCAGCAGAAAAGCTAGTAGTTCTGGCGGTGTCATGGGGTGTTCCTCGATTGTACATTTTCCTAGGCTTGTATCCTATCTGTTGAGGCATTCTTTATCCTGAATTCTTATAGGGGTCGCACTCATATAGTCATATTGTCAACTATGTATCGGTACTGTGTGTATGGAAATTTTTAAGAACCTTCAAAATCGAGCCCCTCTAAAGATTAATATATATATGCATGAATTGATCAAGGCATTGAGATTACTGGTCACCGAGGAAAATTCGTACGATGACTACATTTCAAAATCGAGACTGCAATGAAGTCATTTGCAATATGCACACAACAATCAGAAAAAAGAAAAGAAAAAAAGAGGACATTAGCCTTAGCCGATAAGGTACCTAATCATCCTATGTTAAGTTTGGTTAATTCTTATTTTTTTTTAGATGCGCACTAAAGTAAAACATACTGTCTTTCCTATTTCTTTCCCAGCAAGAGAAAAGATCGTTTAAGAAAAATGGCACCAATAGCCCCTAAATTTCAGCTTGATGTACAATGTCAATTTGTAAATGTTTAATGTAAACTGTTCTTTTTACCCAATAAGGGAGAAAGTCATCACAAGTCCCCGACCCATTGCCAAATATGCAATCTAGTCTCCAATTTTTTCTTTCCTTTTGTAAGTGATGCTATCGAATCGGACTGTATCTTCTTAATTTTTTTTTATGATAAAATGGGTAATTTATATGAACTCAATCTTTTTCTAAAGCCAGAAAATCAATTTGTGTATCTCGTTCCTACGAAAGATTATCAGCTCCAACACGATATCCCAACAAATTTTTTAGCCGGAAAGAACTGTGATTTGTCCTAAATGGCAACCTACCAAATATGCAAAGTAACAATAACAACCGAAAAATTAATCCCGTTAGACTTTGGAAAGACACCAGCAAGCAAGCAAAAAGGAAAGGGAATAGCAACTTTTCTCCCCATTCAAACAGGCTTAACCCACAGGCTGACACGTGGCGGTCGGACACGGCACTTTGCTTCTCTGAGGAAAAAAAAAGGACCGAAAATAAAAAATAAAAAATAAAAAACCTTTTTTTAACAGCATGATCGCTGTCTCTTCCTCTCAGATTTTAATGCAGTCAATCTCTCTCCCTCTCTCTCTTCTTCATTTGGGCACAAATTTCCATTTCACTTTTTATTTTTTATTTTTTATTTTTTTCGCCATTTCTAAACTCTCGAGCTCCTCGCATCCTCTCTCCTCTCCTCTTCTTCTTCTTCTTCTTCCTCCTCCTCCTCATCGTCTTCATCTCGCCAGATCTCTCTCTCTCATCGGCGTCAAGTTCGCCGAGCGATTGCATAGCCTGGAGATGGGCGACTCTCGCCTTTTTCCTTGTTTCCACGCACGCCTAGCCTGCGATGCCGGCTCAGATCCCTAGTGTCGATAACCTCGATGCGTGACGCAGTGTCCCTCGTTGCAATCTATTACCGCGTTCAGCGGGAGGTAAGTGCGAATCTTGAGTAGCTCGCGTGAAAAATTCGTGATTTTGTTTTTGCTTGTGCGCGCGCTACTGTTCTGTTCGTGCGTGAATCTCGAGCGAGCGCGCCCCTCTCTCTCTCTCTCTCGAGGGAGACTGTGGATCGATTCGATTCCGGCTCGGGCATCACCGATCGATCGACCGGATCGCTTGAGCAGGTTGAAATTCCATGGAGGAGGAGAGGGGGGCTCGGAGGTAGAGAAAATTTGTCTGATCTATTGATGACAATGGCCATGGAAAAATAGTCTTGCCTTTTGGATTTGAATGGGAACGGAGCTGATTAAATTTTAGTTCATGGAGCTGTGATTGAAATTGTTTGTAGATGATCGACATTTTTCGATCTGTTTCGGGGTCGATTTGGTTGTGTTTAGGACTTTGTTTCGGCCAAAATGTTTGCTTTAAGCCTCCGTTTTGGGGTTCTTTAGCCACACCTAATTTCCTCACCTCGTCTATTTCGATTCCTCTTCGTCGTGCGATTCAACGTACGGCAACGTATGCTACCGAAGTTACGTAATCTAAAAATGCCGTGCTCGGGTGTTAAACAAACCGAAAGGCTTTCCATAGTTCAATTTTGATTTAGAGTACAGTTTTCGTATTTCTAGTATTGTCCCATCGAGCTTGGAGTCAAAAAATCCATTTTCATCTTTGCCTGATAAGGTCCGTCGAATTTTCATCTTTATTTGAATTCATAAAATCCATTTTCTTCTCCCCTGCTTGCTCTGCTTATGCTGATCGTGAATTTTTTTTTTGGAGATTTACAATAGATCCATCATTTTTGTGGGTCTAGATTCAACTTAGCACATATATTAGATTTACAGAATAATTCCTCCGTATTACGAGAGTGCTATTAAAAGGAGTAACATATAAAACCAGTAAGATTTTTGCCTTCTTCTTAGGATTAAACTTGTCATTTTCTGGCTTAACAAATAATGGACCTTTAGACTGATCTGGAAAAATCTGATTTTGCCGGCTTTTATTGGATAGAAACCACAGGAATTAAAGGTAACTTGGTGCTCTCTAAGCGTATTCCAGAGCAATAGTAAGATAAATGGAATACCGTTGGATCTTTGACTCTTCCCTTTTTCATCCGTTGACTGAGATGAGACATCAATGGCACAAAATGGTAAAGAACAAAAAGGAATAAATTCATTCACATCCATCATCTTAGTACCACCAAATTTAAGACTTCGAAACGAGGTTATAAATCTTGGGTTCTGCTGCGCAATAAACAAAAGCAAAGGATCAACGCATGAAGAGAAACAAAGAAGATTGTTTACCTTCACCAGCCAAAAGATTGCAAGGTCAACAGCAAATGCAGGAAAGAAATCCAGAAGAAAACCATACGAAACCGTCTATTATTTACAAGCATATACCATCCTGGAAACAATGTGCGTGCCATTAACGGGAAGAGGTGAAAGATTGTCTTCAATACAAAATAACTGTAGTCATACGTCATCTTTTAACATGTAAAAACAGCGGTTTCATTCGGCATTGGAGAGTTGCAAGCCAATGAAGCCATTTAGAGGATCACAACCTTCAGCCGCTAATCATATGTGAAAGACAGCCAAATGTCATGAGAATCAGCGACAGCTGTCACATTAGGTAGTACTAACATTTCAGCCTTCTCATTGTTTAAATGAAGAGTTTGGAGAATTATATTGAAACTAGAGAAAGCAGTGTACGATGATATACTCTTCAGTCAATCATCATATGTGTCGAGGATAACCATTTAAGGCTTCGTTGCCTTCAAAATCAGATCACCAACTTTTGCATCTTCAAGCTCACTTTGAATGGTAGTTGCAGATCACTTCTTTTAGGAACACTATTGGGGAAATCGAACAAGTGAAGATCCAAAGCATCAAGCATTCCCCCGTGGCAATATTCAGCAATCCGGTCATCCGATTTGGGCAAATTAGGCGACGTTGGAAAGCTCTTACAATGCACAACCCAAATATACATATCAATCATAATCTTCGCAGGGTTAACTTTATATCAAAATCTAGTCGAAACTTGGTAAAAAAAAATAGGTGTCTTCATGGTCTACAATCGTCAAAGAAGTAATAAATTTGATTCACGTCCAATAAGTGTTTGGATTGAGGGAAGGGTAAGAGTGACTTACCTTGTTTAAGCGCTAAATAATCCACATGGGCCAACCATATATTTCCTTGGCCCCCGCACTTTGAGAATTAAGGGAAAAATTAAACCACCTCATGGCATCTTATTCTATAAAATTGGATCAAGCGTTGAATGGATTTCCGAGTTCATTGTTATTTTAAACATGATAAAAAATGTTTAGATTGGTGAATTTTTTTTAATATATCGCATATCCGCATGTTGGATTATGATATATTGATATTGGATTAGCACTCATGGTCAAACTATACATTGAGATATGATATATGTTCACCGACGATTCTTATTTGGGGCTTAATCACAGCCGATGTGATTTATGAGGCTTAACCACAGCCAATATAGTATCCGGGGTCTTGTCACGTGACGATGAATGACTGAGATTGGGCATCGGGGCATGCCAGGGATGACACGACTTGGGCATTGTTGGTCCGGGCCCAGTTTTTTAAAAAAAAATTTCAATAAAAAAATAATTTTTTGTTCAAATATTAGAAATAATGAGAGATTAATTGAGGAAAATTAATACAAACACATATGTTGTTAAACCAAACTAAAACACAAGTATATCTTCAAATAATTTGAAAAAAAAATTACACTTAGCGGTGCTCTAATTAATGGTTCCACTCAAACATTCATGTTCCTCACCATGATTCAGATAATACAGTGTCATTGTTGTTCTTGTGTCCATGTTGGGTACATTCCTCTGGAGTTAATTCTTGTAGAAACTAATTACACCCTACACGGTAACCATTTCTAAATTTTATGCAAACAAGTTGGATCTATTTGACTTCCAAAAGTTGGCTAATAATGAACATAAACTTTGAAGGTACTGTATACGCCAGTGGAATGAGTAAGTCACAAGCCATAATAGAAAGAATCAGAAAGTGGTGGCTCACCTCTTCCACCATTTCAAGTCCTCGAGGTTATTTTAGTCAAATCTATCATTTTGCTTGGAGTAGTCTATTCCCAAGAACATCTCCAACTCACTGGTAGACGATGAAGATGAAGACTTAGCGTGCTGTGGGGTGTTTTTCTCCTTATGAAGCAAAGACCATATAGGTTGTGGGCACTACTCAATGAGGCCATGTTCTTTGTCCATGGGATGAAAATTGTTGTATTATATCGACCGGCATTTGCCACATACATATTTGAGAGCCAACTCACCGTTATCGCTAGTATGTATTTCACTTGGAACTCCTAACTCAGTCCCGAATATTTGTACTATGGAACAAGAAACGTTTCGAGCCCCTCCAACTTGAACCTCGGATCCAAGACCAAGACGGGATGTTGTTGTAATATTTGAGGAATTTCGCCTTTATGGC